GTTTTTATAGAAGCAAGTTCTCCCTCAGAGCACCTGGTGAGTTCAAACCACCAACCTTTCCCTTAACTGCCCAATACTTAACCCAGTATAGGGTTTCCAAGGAGCAGCTAACTGGTGGGTTTGAACTACTGACCTTATGATTTGCAGTCCAGTGCTGATCCCACAGCACCACATATATGGAGTCTTGGCGTGGTGCTGTACGATCAGCACTGGACCACAAGGTTAGTGTGAACTGCAAAGTCGGCAGTTCAAACTCACCAGCCGCTCCTTAGAAACCCTACGCAGGGTGTCTCTATGAGCCGGAGTGGACTTGATGGTATTTAGCAACACCATACACACATACACCAAGTCGTGTAGTTGACTTTACTTTGAAAACATCCACATAATGAAGGAGTTGGGAGTTGATCTAGAGACTCGCTTTCCCAATAAATAATCGCTTCTCTAAACTGTACAAAATCCTGCCAGCACACCAGATGCTTCTATTTTCCTTGGGATGGACATTCGCCTGGCAACTTGTAAGAACTTGTGAAATACGCACCTGGAATTGGGCATGTGGTCAAGGCTGGCGCTCAGTTGTTCAACGTCTTAAATGTCTCTACGCCATGAGTTTGGCATGTCCTTCAATGTTGTCAGCCCCTTCCACCAGGTGGAGAGGAGAGGGTCTTTGCCCCAGGAGATGGATTCAGACACCATAACCCCCTTGGAGCGTGCCAACTGTGACTTTCCAACACAGCTGAAAGCGATTGTGAACTGTCAGAAGCTACCAGCCTCCATTGTTGCTGCCAATTATATAGATAAATAGGAATTTACATAATTTACAAAGCGTTTGTGTTCCTGGCTTATTTTGAAACCACTTCCCAATGACCCACACTGATTTGTGAAGGCATGTATACAGCTTCATAGCTTTGTGTGGGCCGGGGGCTGTCTTGGCAATGAACTTCTTGAACAACTGGAACTTGACTGAGCATGGGTGTACAGGACTAAGTGGTTCCACGGGACACAAAAAGCCGGTCAGTTGGGTGAGAACAGACTTTTGAGTGCACGCACCCAAGGTGAAAACCAGAAGGTCATCATTGTCTTCTTTTCTTGTCATAAGCATTGACATTTCTTCATCTCTTTTATTTTGGGGGGATGCATTCTTTTGGTGAGCATCTCACACAGCTGTAAATTTCTGTCTAAATCCTATAAGCTTCAAACTCATAAACTTCTGTCCAGCTGCTACCCGTGTCTAACATGGACACCCCAGTCCCCTGTCCAGCCCTTGTTAATCTTGCAGCATGCTGGCCTCCTCTGGTTCCGGATATAAATGCATAAACGTCACTAGGACCTTCACCTCTGTCATATGACAGACATATGTTTACATTGGCAGAGAATCACCTTGGAGCCTACTTATTCGCAAAGAGAATTCACATCCAAAGCCAAGTAAGTGGCTTTCCAATTTGCCTTCCCTCCCCCAAAACAATTTCCTCAGGGAAAGCGGAACCATGAGCGTCTAGCTCTGGCATATCTGGGATTGGTTTACCCATTAGGGAGGCTGGCTCTGGCCATCTGGATCTGACTATTCTTGGGGCCGGGGTCTATTATGAAATTGTGCCCTTTGGGTGAGTTTTCTCCCTTGGCACAAGTCATCCCTCTTGCTCAGAAAGGTGGCAATGTGACTGGTGTCTGCCCATGGCTGAAACCTTCCTGGGACAAGATGCCATGCGTGGCCCCGTTCTCCAAAAGGATCCTGGAAGTTTGAGATGAGCAGCAGCCCAAGAATGCACTGCACAAACATCGATGGGGACTCCCGAATGCTTACTTGTGTAATCTGTCCTTGACAGCAGTCCGTCTGAGGGGCAAAAGGAAAGACGAGGCATGTTACCAAGTAGCTCTGTCCTTACTCATTAAGAAATGTCTTAACGTTTCTTCCTGCCCACCCCTCATTCTGCAGTTGTTTCAAACTTTGTATTGTGTTTGGGGTGAAAGTTTACAAGGTAAATTACTGTTCCAATCAACCATTCATACTTATTTTGTTTTGTGACAATGAGTGAAGAGAATGCAACAGAGCTCTTCCCACTTCCTCTCCGGGTTTCCATTTCTTCTTCTTGCTGATCTCTTCCTGCCTTCTGAGTTTTAATCCTGAGCAAATGCTACCCTTCTAATGCCATATGGTTGATTGTTCTAAGGAGTGTGTACCTCCCTGGTGTGATTGTTCACCTTATAAGCTGGCCTGCTGTTTAACTGAAAGTTGAATCATAGGCTGCTCTGAGGCACCAGAGTGTCTCCACACTTCCAGAGCGGCCCACCACCTCCACAAGTGGGATTCCAACATAAGGAGACTTGGTGCTGGCACCTGCCTGTAGCCTGGCTTCACCTGTAGGCTTGTTATAGGTGTCCACTTGGAGGACGAGAACCTGGGAATTACTATCTCTGGTCTTGCAACAAAGTAGACACCATGGCTTAATAAAACAGCTTTTTCTCTCCAAGTAAAGCTTTGTATAGGAGCTTTATGTGAATAACACAGACCTGGAGTAACCAACTCTCCCAGGAAATGGTGGGAAGGGAGTCTATCCTGGCCCTGTGGCAGTTCCATGCCTACCAATCCCATCCTCCTCACATGGGGCAGATCAGTAGTGATAGCAAAAACCCGCTGATTGTCCTTGAACCGTTACCACCTCCTAACTCCCCCATGTGTGTAAGAGCAGTATTATGCTCCATAGGGTTTTGTTGTTGTTTAATACCGATAAGATTTTTGTGGGGTTTTTTGGTATGAAACTGGTTGCCTTTAAGTTGATGCTGCCTCACAGCAAAGCCTACAAGACAGAACCGAGCTGCCCTATAGGGATTCCAAAGCCGCAATCTTTCTAGAAGCAGGCTGCCACATCTTTCTCCCAGGAAGTGGCTGGTGGGTTACAACTGCCCAGCTTTCTGTTTTCAGCTGAGTGCTTCACTGCTGAGCCACCAGCCCTCTTCTAGTTCTATAGTTGACTTTTTAGATGCAAGTCTTCAAGCCTTTCTTTTGAAGACCCTCTGGGTGGGTTCGAACCAGCAACCTTTCACTTAACCCAAGTGTGTCAACTATTCATACTACCCTGGGACTTAAAGCAAGATAATTAAGTGCTTTTTTGGTGTTGGGTGTTGGACACACTGCTGTTGCCAGCATGTTCCTGCCCCAGGCCCTTTGCACTTGCTCTTTCATCCCTATAGCTCACCCTCACTTACTTCTGGACTTTATGCCCCTGCCACCTTTCTGGTGGTAGCTACAGACCTATAGCTGTAGCTGCCCCAGCACAGCCTGCCCTACCCTGCATTCCCGCCTCCTCAGACGACCTCCCTGCTTGTTTCCAGCGTTTGCTTGCTGTCCGTATCCCTGTGACGGCAGACACCTCGTCATGTTCCCTGTGGGGTCCCGGCTTTGGGAATGAAGGCTGACACAGAACAGGTGCTCAGCAAATCTGAATGAATGAATGCATGAGTGGATGAATATATGACGGCATGGATAGAGATTCTAATCAATCCCACCCTCCCCAAGAGGAGCTTGGATTTGGGGTGCGGAAGAGAGAAAGAGGAAGCAGACTGGAAAGGCGCATGGAGTAGCAGCTGGGGTCTGACTCAGGCTCTCCTGGGACCCCTCCCTGCCGCCTCATCCGCCTCCGCCCTCTCCGCTTTTATTATAGATGCTGGCAGGTCCCTCTCTGGACCACTAGAAGCAATCTGCCACCAATTTGGAAAGGCTCCTCTATACCGAGCGGGGTCTAGTCTCCAGATCAGTCCCTGCAGGAATGAGAGCTGCCTCCAGGCAATTACTCTGAACATAAATTACCATCACATTGCAGATGTGCGGGGGTGAGTTGTAATAATGATCTCTGATGGACAGGATGACAAATTCACCCAACTGGGCCACAGGAGACCCTTAGGATCTCTCAGACAGACAGAAGCCGCTTACTACTACTACTACTAAAATGAACTGGGGGGCTTAGGGGGAGCCGGCTGTTGTGTGGTTATAATTCACCTCTGCCTAGAACCAACTGGATGAAGAAATGCATTTTTGCAAAGGCCAGGGGTTGCTGTGAGGGTGGAGGGGGGGATATAGGGCTGCTTGGGGGTTCAAGAAGCAGCATTGACTAGCTGGCCCAGGCCCAGAACTAGGGTTGGAGAGGATACAGGTGGGCTGGCCAGAGGTAGAGGAATAACACTGGCTGGCTGTCTGCATTGTTGATGCTCTAGCCTCCAAAATAATGAATCAAAAGGCACAGTTGTGGGGGGTGCAGCGTCCCATGAGCTGTGGGTTCCAGCAAGATGCTACTTCTAGAGCACACTGCTCATGGGAGCTTCCAAGACCACCTTGACCTCCTCCCAGTTAGTCTCCAGGCCCCCCACCCCCATGCCCTGGGGGTACGGTGGGAATAAAGTTGGCTGTACTGAACCCAACTGCACATGCAGGTCAAAGAGTGACCCCCTCTTCCCACCAGTGGGCACATCAGTGTCCTTCCTAAGGACCGTGCCCCAAGGCAGGACCATGCCCGAGGGCAGAGCCCCAAGAGGGATCCTCAGGGCACTGGGCAGCTATTGTGGATTTTACCAGTGGGATGTCTGTCTGTCCATCCTCACCATTTCTCCAGCAGCAGACACTCACTTCTGTCCCTGTGTCACGTTTTGATCATTCTTACAACGTTTCATACATCTTCATGTTATCACACAGTGAACAGGCCAGCAAAACGAACCCCCAAACCCACTGCTGCTGAACCAATACTGACTCAGCAACGCTGGAAGACAGAGGGCAAGTGCTCCATTATGTTTCCAGGACCGTCAACCTTGACTGAAGCAGATAGGCAGCCTCATCCTTCTCCCATGGGTGGGCTGGTGGGTTTGAACCGCCGACCTTTGAGTTAGTTCAGTACTAAACCCACTGCGCCACCAACGCTCCTTTCATAGACCACGGTGTGGCGTAAGTATTACATCTATACGCACTGGGAAACCCCAAAATGCGTGTGGCTTGCTTTGTTGCGACATGGGCTTTACTGGGGTGGTCAGGAAGAGCATCTGAAGCTCACTGCCCGAGCTGGGCAAGGCCAGTCCCAGAGACTTTCCTAGGAAGCATGCTCTGTCTCCTGGCCCCTCTGGCGTCTTGTCTTCATCACAACTTGGCTGTGAGCACCCGCTCTGCTTGGGTTTGCATCTTGCTTTGTTTTGCATGTGCCAGGAAGTCACTCATGTCTCATCCCCACCCCCCATCCTCCCTCCTCACACCCCAGCTCTAGGAAGAGCCATCTAAAGAGGAGCTTTGCAGGCTTGGGTGGATGAGTCTGGCCCAAACTAAAGAAGCAGCCGAACAGAAGACACCATCTCCAGCATTCGCAAGTGTTAGTAACTGCTAGGGGAATGCCAACTTCAGCACATCTCCCTACCTCTTCCAGGGCTATATTCAGAATCCCTGGGTTGCACTAAAAGCTAACATGCTTAGCTAACATGTTAACTGAGAAGTTGAGGGTTTGATTCCATCCAGAGGTTCCTTGGAAGAAAGGTCTGGTAATCTCCTTCCTAAAAACCAGATACTGAGAAGCCTGAGCGGCACAGTGCTGTTCTGAGACACGCGGGGTCACCAGGATTCTGGGTTAATTTAACAGCAACAGGGTTGGGAGCCACCTCAGGGTCTGCATGCTCATCCAACGGAACTGATTCACAAGCTCATTTCAGACAGTCACTCAGGGTCTCCCAAAGAGGGCCCAAGGGGGGCACCAAGTGAGAGAAATGAGACACAAAAGGGAAGGGACACAAGCAGAAGGCCCCCACAGCCCTGTCTATAGTGGCCTGGAGGGATTGGGAGCCCAGCAAGGCCAGAGGGCTTTCAGGAGAAGCTAAAATCACAATTCATTTTTTTGTGAAATCTTTGATTTTCAAATGTAGGCAACTTATTTAGATTTTCTCCAAAGGGCAGTGCAGGTCAGATGAGACACATCCCGAGACAAGATGTGGGCTGGGCCATGTGGTACTCTCTGTTCTGAGACCACTCAACCTCTGGGGGCTTGGGGCCACACTCACAGCTGGGCGAGCTCCTTCCAGAAGCCCCTACCCCCACTCTGGGCTCATTGAATACCCTGCCCCGTAACTCTGGTGGGCGGGGTTCCATACCTGCTGCTGTCCAGGGCTCGGGAGCAGAAGTGTACACAGGTCTTGTCAGCTATCTCCACGCAGGTGCAGCGCGGGTGTGTCCATGAGGGGGGCCACTCCGAGGACCTCTTGCCCCTGAATCGTCCCCAGTAGTTGGACAGTCCATAGGGCACAGTGTGCCTGCAAAGGACCAGAGAGTGTTAGAGCCCCACGGGGCCCTGTCCACAGACTCTGCCCATGGAACCCTGTCCACGGAACCTGCCCGCAGGGCCCTGTCCACAAAACCTGCCCATGGGGTCCTGTCCACGGGACCCTGTCCACGGAACCTGCCCAAGGGGCCCTGTCCACGGGACCTGCCCACAGTACGCTGCCAATGGGACCCTGCCCACAGGGCCCCTACCAGCTTCCCAAGAAGGGGTGGAGGCTGAGGGGCAAACACAACCACAGGAAAGAGCAATGTGGGTATGATAATGCTCAGGAATTGGGGCATCGCCCCTCCAACCACTGGAGGGCTCATGAAGCTTCTGGCATGATTGGTTTAGTCCCTGTCCCCACCTCATCCTCCGGAAAGCCTGTTGGGACCCAGGGACAGAAACAGAGGGAGGGTCTAGGGGAAAGGACACCCAGGAAGCCAAGCAGTCGTCTATGTGTACATGCGTATAGAGACTGCACACTGGTGGATGTCCATATGTGCACATGTGCAGGTGTGTATATGTGTGAATGTACCAGCATATTTGTGTGAGCATAAGCATTCTGAGTATGTGTGTGCACATCTGTGTGTACACATGTATAAATGGGGGTATGCCTGCACATCTGTGTGTACACGTGTAAAGGTGTTTGTGTGCACATCTGTGTGTACACATGTGTAAACAGGTTTGTGCATGCACCTCTGTGTGTGCACGTGTGTAAAGGGGCACATTCATGCACATCTGTGTGTACACATGTGTAAATGGGTGTGTGCGCACATCTGTGTGTACACAAGTATAAAGGGGTGTATGTGTGCACATCTGTGTGTACGCATGTATAAACCTGTGCATGCCTGCACATCTGTGTGTATACATGTGCAAACCTGTGCGTGCATGCACATCTATGTATTTGCATTCATCCCTGTGTTTGTGTGCATGTGTATCTGTGTATGTATGTGCATACATGCATTTGAGGGCTGGCCTTCCCCACCCCAGTCATAGCTCAGAGTTCTGCCTGTGGACATATGAGGGGTTTTGCTTATTTCAAGATGAAGGCATGCAAAGACCCCTCCAGTCCCGGCTTCTCCCAGGGTCTGGTTTCAGCTCCTCAGCCCTGAATGGCCTCCCAAGGCCTCTGCTTCATCCTCAAAATGCCGAAATTATTCAGAAGAATTCAGCAGCACTCTGTGGATTCCTCCTTCCTGTGCTCACAGCACCTGGCGAGACCTTTGAGTGGAAGCTGCACCTGAACTCTGTAACCTGAGCTGGTCATTGAGACCAATCAGAGTCCTGTCTGCCCAGGCAGCCAGAGCTGCCCCTCCCAGGTGCCCGCCTGGAACTGGATTTCCGCTGTGAGCACTTCAGGCCTCTTGTTAGTGCTGGCGGCACAGAGACAAATGCAGTTACAGTCAGCACAGAGGACCCTGGCCTCAGAGTCTTGCTTCCCCAGAGAAATGAGCATCAGACGAGCCCTCAGTGCCCTCGGGGGCTCCTGGGCGCCCTGGAGACGCCGTTCCTGATGGAGCTGGCCTCGGGAGAGTCTTGCTGCAAAGAAACACGACTCTGAAACTGTGGACCGATTTCATTTACAGTGGGGCTGGGAGGAGGAGGGAGATGGCATAACTCACAGCAATAAAATGCTGAAATGTGTTTCTTATGTGGGTCTCCAACCCCTGTCTCCCCAGAGGAGAGCAGCTACTGCCAAGGAAGTCAGTGGGAAAACTTGAAAGCAGATGTTTAACCCGTCAGTGCAATTAACCAGGGTTTGGGGGACAAGTGGCCAACCACTAAGGAAAATATACGAACATGACCAAAAGCAACTTGTCTTTCCAGTAAGTCTTGGTTCCTTTGGGTCTCCCCAAAGACTACCTATCTGATCTCCCACAGAAAACACCAACCTGTCTCAAAGGGTATCCCAACTTGCTCAGTGGGTTTCAAAATAAAATCAAATTAAGCTGATTTTGATTTGTAAAACATATACCACGTTTGGGGCTGATGAGGGCAAAGAGAGGGGACTCCCCACAGTGATCTGACACTTACTTGGGCAAACCTCCCGTCCCATTGGCTTGGAGGCCAAAAGCTAAGGCATTTCACCAAAAAGAGACTCTCTTGTGTCGCCTCTCTGAGACTGCTCCCCACCTAAGTCCATTGGCCAGGTGGGGGGCTTCCTCCTGACCAAAGCAGGTCCAGCTGTGGATCAGACCACACTCATCAAACAGAGAAAGAAAGCAGGGTCCGTTCCTGCTGCAGCCTAAACCGTTATGAAAACCTGTTTTTCTCAGGGAAAGGGGAGGGAGAGGTGATGGAAACAACGGGGCCTTATCGTAAGGTAGGATTTGGCTAATGGTGTATGTTTCCAGTAATAGGGTCACATTAAGTCTCTTAATGTTGACACTAGACCCAGTCCCACCATGTCTCAGTGAAAAGACAACACGAGCAATAACAGCGTGCCATTTCCCCATCAGTCGCCGGACCTGCAAGTTCGAAATTGCTGTCAGCTGATTTCACACCACCACCCAAGTAGAGATCAAAACAAACAAACCCAAACCAACCAATAACACAACAAAACCCCACGTTCAAACGTTTAAATGAGGAAAAAAGGCAATGCGATACTTGTTAAACGTTCCCTTTTCCTGCCTCCAGGCCCAAAGAGTAAGGCAGCCAAGGAGGCCTTGCAATTTTCAAAGCCCTTGTCTCATTTCTGGTTACTGAGATCCCATCAGCTCTGAGCACAAACCCTTCAGCACCAACCCCAGGTGTGTCCACCTGTGTTCTCTCTGGGCCGGCCTGGGGGGAGCTAGGGTGGGAGCTGACAGGCTTCTTAGCTGTTTTCTTCTTTATGAAAATAGACTTTATTGCCTCACAGTTCTGGAGGTCAGAGATCTGAATTCAGGGTGCTGGCTAGGGCCCTGTTCTCCGCAAAGGCTCTAGGGAAAGAGCTTTCTGGGCTCTGGTGGCCTCAGAGGTTCCTGGGCTTGTAGCTGCAGCAGAACTCTTGTCAAAGGGTGGCTTCTGGGAGGAGGTAGAAGAACAAGATAGATAGGGGAACACTGAGACAGGTTTGCATGGCCTAGTGGGACAGAGGGAAATAGTGATGCATACTCAACCTTGGAACAACAAGGCTCTGGGATACAGGGATCTAGGTATAGCTTGAAGAGGGTAAATAAGACTAAAATCCTTGACTGCCTTATGAATATTAGTTTCCCTTGCCTACTATTGTAAAACAGACACTTGAGTGGGATAGAAAGGAATGTTGGGAAACATGATTAGAGAAAACTTGTAAGCCCACCTTCAGCCTATAACTGATTGGAATACCTAAAAGGGGTTCTACAACTTGCCCAGTGAAATAGGCCTTGTACAAAGCCTTCACAGAGTATAGGACCTTAGGTGGAATCCTAAGTCCCATCCACAACCTTGTGAGATGAGACATTCCCACTAGAAAGGACAGGCAGACTGGAACAGCTACAGTGACAGAAGATACATCTTCATGATGAACCTGACCTATACTCAGAGCAGTAGTTACTCTAAATACCAACAGAGAGGGAAAGAGTCTTCAAATCAAGTATCAATGCTATCCGCTCTGTGCACAGGGTAGATAGGGATGGGCAACTTAGACATTGGCTATCTAAAATGAGGGGACAATAAAGGCATGAAGTGACTGGCTTACAAGGTTTCAAGAGGGAACTTAGTTAAGAGTGTGGGGGGAAAGAAAGAGTCCCCACTGAATAGTTATCATCTTGTCTAGATGGGTCTGGTGAAAGGAGATGGGGATAAGATTCGTAAGATTCAGTTGTGAATAACTGTTATCATGACTAATCGCGACTGTCACAATTGTAAAGGTAGAAGCTTTGTAACTAAAAAAAGGGGAGTGATTAATCTTACAGTCCAGAAACAGAGGACCCTAGGACCATCAAGAGAGGAACACACAAATAGAATGCGAGACCTTATCCAGAGAAGCAGCAGCACCAGAGATGGAGGTAGAGATGGGGGCATGGAGAGGGAGAGCGGCTGAGGACTCTAGATTCATCACCTAAGAAGAGAAGGACTAAGAACTGGTGGCCAGGAGCAGACTTGCAGAATGTGCCCTTTGGAGATGTAATCTGCTATATATGCCTGAGTGGGGTTTTTGTTTGTTTTTTTAAAAAAAGCTTAAGTGGATAAAGAGAAATACTTTTAACTGATGGTCTATGGAGGGGATTATAATCAATGTAATGAAACAAGTTATATGAATTGTTGAATGTGAAACTGATGATGTGCCCTGTAAACTTTCACTCAATCCACAATAAAAACCTTAAATTAAAAAAAAAAAAAAAAAAAGGTGGCTTCTTCTGGCTAGCTCTCTAAGGACAACAACAGGAAACCTTGGTGGCACAGTAATTAGGTGCTTGGCCACTAAACAAAAGGTCAGCAATTTGAACCCACCATCTGGTCCAAGGGGAAAAGATGGGGCTTCTGTGAAGTCTGCGCCTGTAAAGAGGACAACTCTGGAAACCGTCTGGGGCAGTCCTTCTCTGTCCCACACAGTCACCATGAGCTGGGAACAACTCATGGCAGTGAGTTTGGGTAACCGGTCTCAAAGTAGACCTGGTGGTGTAAGCGTTAAGGGCTGGGCTAACCGAAAGTCAGCAGTTCAAACCCACAAGCTGCTCCCCGGGAGGAAGCTATGGCAGTCTTAGAAACGTCCTGGGGCTGTTCTACTCTGCTCAATAAGCGGTCGTAAGTTGGAACAGAAGCCATGGCAATGGACTCGGTCTTTCTGGTTTACAGCTCATCTCTCAGATTGGATTAGGATCCATCCTACCCTGGCATTATGACCTTGTGTTAGTTTAGTTGATGGCATCTTCACAGTCTTAGATCAAAGCAGTTTAGGGTTTTAGCATAAACCCTTAGGGATACAATCAAATCCTAACCTGAGGATATGGGGAACAGGCTAACTCATACATTATTGATACTTCTTACACGGCCACAGTGCTTGGTTGACAATAATATATATAT